TTACCGATGGCACGAGGCCGTTGATATGCACAGACACACAACAATCACCAAGGACCAAAAGAAATAAACCTAAACCCCGTGATATGGGTTAAGGCGGTCCGAGACAACTGAAGGGTATTTAATAGTTCGAGGGGGAAAGGAGGAGTAAGACGCCGTAGGGTAGTCCGTAGCAAGACCTAGAAAAATAAAACAAAATCCTTGACGCCTGAAACAAACACTAAGGGACACTTCAGAGTATTTATCTCCAGAAAGTTGCAAACAAAGTCGCAAACCACGGAACCGAGTGTAGGTTCGGGCCCACGGAAGTAAGAAATGCTAGAAAGACTTGTTTAATTTTATTTCGCTATGTGAGGCTCACCGGAGCTAATTGAATCGATGGTGGAGATAATTCACTTGACGAGTCAGGCCTATTGGCAAAGCTAGGGTCGGTTATAATTCGCTAAGTTCGACGCTTTCGAACTTCTCGGGTCGCTGAGATCGTAACGCTAATTCTCTGAGATGGTGAAGTCGAAACTTGTTTTTCTGTACGCTACTTTGTACAATTTATACTACAGGAATGGCTTTGCGACCGTCCGGAGATAAATAACAAATAACCGCCGCTACCCACAGGATTGCTCAGCACTTGCCGCCGCACCATACGACTCCCTTGCACTCCTACTTGCTCGTCCCAACCCCTAGAGGTCGCCTTGACACTCTGCCACCTGATCCAAGCGGTCCCATCACTCCGTGCGACGCGCCGGTCACGTGCTAATTACCTCCGGCCGCTTGCTGACTGATGCTGACCTCATGGTGACTCGTATGCGTCCGCACCTTCGCTATCTTGATGGAAATGAGGGGGAGTGAGTGCTGGAGGGTGGGCATGAGGACGATGCCCCTCGATAGAAGTGCCCGCGGGCCCCGGAGCTAATTCATCTAAACGTTGCATTGGTTAAGTTGCTCTGGAGCTCCTGTTCGTGGAGATAAATCGTGGAATGGGTCCGTATACGCCTCAAGGATGTTAGGAAGTCCAGAGATAAAACAGAGCAAGTCTTTAGAGCCCATAGAAGCCTAGAGGCGTGTGAGCGCTGTATCGAATAAGCTCCGGAGGGCTTGTACGATGCGCTGAGTCCGCGTTTTCGGGGGTCAGACGATCCTGAGGCTTATCACCATCAGCAGAACTTGCAACGGATTTAAATCCACCTAGAATCTACTAAATGGAAAGGTCGTCAAGCTCCCCAAGAGAATGCTGGATTTAACATTGGTCGAGCAGATTCCCTTGTATTCGAGAGGTAGGATACATTTCCAATCACCACAGACCCTGATATTTGGTGATAATCTGATAGATAACAAATAGGTAGCTGACTACTAGAGTCTAGCTGAGCATGAAGGTAGAGAGCAAACACAGGTCAATGGAGCCTGATGGCAGTACTCCATAGTGATGCCGCAGTCCGGTTCCTGAACCTGGGAGAACCGATTCGAACCTCGGACCAGACCCAGGTTCTGGTCTGTGGTTCGGCTTTGGGGTGGACCGAACCTGAAATGAGGTCCAGGTGGAGCCCCGAACCATACCTAAATATGGTAATTTTGAAGGGTTCGAACCCAAACCTGACCGGACCCAATGCCATTTTGGGTTCTTTGAGGTTCACAGTCCGGAAATTTACCCAAACTGGACCTTGGGTCCAGTCCCAGGTCCGGAAATTTGGGCCAATAACCGGACCGAGCCGGACCGCGGCATCACTAGTACTCCAGCAACCCAGTCTTATATTCTAAGACAGACCTAAGCTAACTGAAGCAGACAGCAGAAAGTACTGCAGTCCTTCCCTACTCTGAGGTGCTTCAGACAATCAGAGTCCAGACAATTCTTATCCCACAGTAGGGACAAGGTCTGATTGACTCGACAGGCAAATAGCTTTATTGGGGGATTCCAGATAGATTGATCCTCCCTTTGCTCTCCCTACTGAGCTCTTTATATACCCTACAGTAATCTGAAATTACAAACAATAGGTTGGGAAGATACTTAGGAGGAGACAATAGTGCAAGAACAAGGTAACAATAGTGTGAGAAAATGGTGTGAGTTATCCAACTCCAGGCATGAATCAACCAATCCCTGAGCTTTAGGAACATGGATGACTTAGCTAAAACAATAGGCATGGGAAAGTGGTGAACAATAAGGTAAGAAGAGCACGGAAGAAAACAAAAGTACATGGGAAATCAAGAACAAGGGGTGGGAAAACCCTTTAACAATAGCATGGGAAAAGCATAAACAATAAAGCAAGAATGATCCTTGGCCAATCATGGAGCACTACCAGTCCTTCTAGAGCATTCTACACAGTTCCTCTCCCCATACTTGCCCTCATCCTTTCTCCCATTAACAGAAGGTGCTTGGCACACTCGAAGGATATGTCATACAAGTCTTTTTTTTGTTTTCTACTCCCAACCAGTTGTTGAAGTCCGCATCTACCAGACCTTCCAAGACCAACCTGTATGTACAGGTCTCTTCGGTCTGATGCTGGTAGTAGTGGTACACTTCCAGCCTGGAGGGGGACAACATTCAGCATGTGGCAACAGTGCAGTTTGGCATTCGAATGATAACATTGTCTGACAATGCAAGTGTGAGCAACAGTATCCAAGTCCAGCTACAGTCATTATGAATCCCAGTAAGGCAGTATTTATGATGTATATATGCCAATTTAAGACCCATCCAGCTATTGCTGCATAGTGTAGTAGTTATATTCCTAGTCTTTACA